TTTGTCAGAATTCCTAAAAAATATTCCATTTTACATTTACAAAAGAAAATTATTTATAAAAGATCATAAATATTTAATTTAATATCAAAAAGGCCAGTTAAATATCTCTTAAATTATATGATTTCATTAAGCTTTTAATTAATATCACTGACCATATTTATTAATAATAAATTGTAATTAATTAACAAAAATAAAATTTTTCTTTAATGTCTAATTATACATTATCCAAATTAAAATATTAGTGTTAACATTATTGAAAATATCAAAAAGGATTCATATTTTTTTATAAAATTATTACCGAAGCGCGTCATGAACATTCTACTTAAATAAAAAGTTTCCAAATATGTTTTCAACATTTTGTGGGGTAGAACTGCTGCATGTGCGGTTATACAAGAACGAGCATAACGGTATCCATTTCGATGTGTCTGAAAAAGAGCGTGCAAATAGCATGAATTTTCAAAACGTTTATCGTTCTGTCGCCAGCCCTTTTTTAATGTGACACGTAAATACAAGAATCGCACAGAGGATCTATTTTTGTGGAGAAATAAAATAAATAAAATAAAATGTCGACGAGAACATAATCGTCGGCTCTAGTAAAAATATACTAATTAACATAGCTCGTATTATTACATATTACAGCCCATTGTTTTTATTTCATAAGATTATATGTTCATGTATAATATAATATCTTCACTAATTCTCTTTGTCTTTCTGTTTCTCTTTACATTATTTTATTTTTTTACATTTATTTTCTTACACTGTGTAATAATATAAAGAAACATTACAGTTTTTTTACATTAATTTAAAAATTATTTAAGAGCTCTTTTAACTCTCAGAGAAGATGGTATAGACGTTGTTAAACTTCCGGCACTGTGAGATATGACCTTCTTTATAAAAAGTAAATTTAAATAGATTTGTAAAGATTTAAGTCTCTATAATTTCATGTGTAAGAAATTCCATTTTTTATATTTTATTATTAATTTTAGCGTTTAACGTTCGTACGTCAATTTTTCGTATCGATTTTAGCCATAAAATGATATTAAAAACATCTATTTTATTAACATTGTAGTTATCGTGTCAAATCATTGATAAAACTACAAGTTTTTAGTTATTTGCACATTATAATAAAAATATATTTCTAGATATAAGAACGCTTTTATAATATTTTTCCTGAGATGTTATTCCAATTTTTACTAGTATTGGTGCTCGCATTCACAGCCGAACGATTCAATAGATATTCGGTTATTCCGACTACCACAATTGCAGCTGTTGCAATTTCGTTTCAAATCGTTCGCACTAATACATCGAAATTTTCATCCACAATAATAGTAGAAAAGAATACGAGAAATGTGCGCGTTCTACATTATCGGTTCATCTCTCGATTCTTTCAATTTTCTTCATTTTCATTTTTGAGTACCGATTCCATATGCATTTACACATGGCTATGCTCGTAAAAAGAGCCTTACTTGCTTTTCTCACTGCAAAATTCAGTGCGTATATACTTATTACGCTACGCAGCAACATTCAAGATTGTGTGTACAAATAAATATCATCGACGTATCTCTCGCGAATAAGATATCATATTGATTCGAGAAGCGAAGCTGCTCGCGCTGGAGCGGCGTTAGCTACCGGACATAAATTATGCACTATCGGTGGAGTACCGATAAGTATTAGTTTAGTTTGAAATTTGTTAGCCGAGCCGGGCATTCGCGGCGCGGCTTCACAGTCACGAGCGAGAGAAAAAAAAAAAAGGTACGGCGAAGTTAGATGAATCATGAATAAATTTACGCGCCGAACCTTTTATTCCGGAATGATCCAAGTTTCTTTATAGTGCATACTCCCTTCGCTATACGCGGTAATACCGAAACTTATATCACGGCAGAACGTAAATTGCTGATACACGTAAATTAGGCGTGCCGTCCCGTTGGCCGAAATTTACTGTTCACTGTATTAGATATCATATCGTAGAAATGAATTACTCGCTGCGTAATCTATCTGTTGGCGAGATACTCGCGCCACGCCACCGCCACCGTTTTTTTTTTGCAACGTGGGAAAATAATTTCTATTTTTCGCACGTTGATCGTTAAGCATTAAGTTACTTGTTCGTGATTTGAAATTAATTTTTAATTCACTATTTGCTCACATGAGTAAAAAAAAATCAAACTACTTGATCAACGCGTTAAATTAATAATCGAAATTAATAGAAATGGTTAATGGTCTCATTAATTTTGAGATAGCACAACGTAACGTAACAAAACGTACTTTAAATCGACCCGAACGTGCGTCTCATCAATCGAGTACACAAATTCTGTCGCGTGGTACGAGAAAAGCTCTTTCTCTGAAAGAGAGATCGAATCTTCTATTTATCTCGTCTTATCGTAGGCGGAAATAACACTCGTTCGTTCGAGCTGGCGCAGCACTCAAGCGACTAAACTTGCGATGCCAACCGGGAGCGGCTGCAGACTCAATTAGCCCCGCGGAAAACTTTCATGGAGGGATTACGATGTCAACAACGTCTTTCTTGTGCGAATGACGTTTCTGCGCGTCGGGCAAAATTGTTGTTTATCGAAATGGCAGTCTTCCAAGCGCGGCGTGTTGTCATGCTTTTGAAATCACGTCAAACGCTTGATTATTTAACTCCAGTTTACTTTACTCTGCCATGAGTCTTTATCCTCATTTCAATTTTCATTATTCGGTCTCTCAAGACAGACTGCTTCTTGGACACATAATAATAAAGTTTAAAAGATAAATATAAAGTTCTTATCAAATGTAAAATAATTTTACTAAATATCGGCAGAAAATCTATAAAGTTAAAAAAACATCCTATATAAAAGAATAAATACAATTAAAATTTCTTGCCTTGAAGCTCGATACAAAAGTATACAAACAAAAATGTCCTCATATGTGTAAAAAAAGATTACAGTTTTTTACATAACCGCGATCACAATTTGGTACCGTAACAATGGTATATGCATCGTTTGTTATTAATTCTAAAATTCTAAAATTCTAAAATATTGGCTCTGTCAAAAGCATATATGCATAAAAACAAAGATGTTAGCACGTATATAGAAACGTTTCAATGATGCATGGTAAGATTCTAGGACAATTCACTATAGAAAAAAATTATAATTATTTCCAAATGGCAAACGCTGATTAAACTTATAATTTAATTAGTAATTATGGTTTTGATAAAGTACTCAACCATAATGGAGAGCGGGCGGTTATTCAGACCTCTTTCTTGATATCGGCGCAGTTATACGTAACTATAATTTAATATTCTCTAATTGATTTTTAATTATGCACGATTGATTAACATATTGCACACATAGACAATACTGACGCGAGGATACCACATATATTCCGAGTATATCTTGTTATGAGATGCAAATTTCTCTCATAACAATTTAATGTTAAATTTTACGTTCCCTTTTCCAATTTACAGCAAATTGGTTTGCCGATATAATGCTCGATATATCATTATCTTTTATTCAAATTTTTTTATATTCGCGATATCGTAAACGAAGCTGTCAGCGTTTCTATACTGAAAATATGCACAAATAAACGCACGAATAGAAAGGATCCAACAATATCGCGTTCACATTTTCGCGGAGATATCTCACATAAATCACAATACAACTCATCTGATTTCATTTAACGATATCACGTTATCGTAAATTGACAATTAAATCTATCTTCGTTTCTCTAAACATACTCTGAATGCATGTATGTTTTAAGAGAGAAAATTTACTTTAGAAGAAACGACTTAATTTTTCATCTTTTTTTCTGAAATTATTGGAAACAATAATATTGTTTATAAATTGTAAGTCTTTTCAAAATTTTGCAAATTGCAGCCCGACAAATACCCACTGTAAAATCAAACCAATTTCATTTATTTTCCCCGAAAAAGAAAAAAAAAAAGATTATTCGAAAGAATGATGATTTGAAGGAAAAGGCTGTTTTCTCCAAAAGTAGCTAAACTACATCGATCCGATATCATGTGCGATATCAGTGAATTTTCTCAACCTCTTTCCCCGCCGCTTTCCATTACCGCTAAATCCTTCAAATCGGAATCGATCGCGGCAGTCGGTCGCGATACGGCGCGAGTCGTAAGGGTAAGCAGGAGCACGGTGACTTTTACGATTCTATTCTGGGGGGAGGGGGGAGTGGGGGGGGGGGGAGGTGATATTGGCCGAGGGGCTGTCTCAAATCGATCTCCTCTCGCTACGTTACGCCGCCTCGGAGAGCCAGCACCAAGATTCTCCGTTGTTCGCGTTAACTCCCGTCTACTTTCTGCGGGTTCTCCCGAGTGCCAGTTCCCCGTAGTTTCGCGAGCAACCGCGAGATCAATATCGCTTTTGTGACTTCTGACTCACTGTCTCGAGAAGCACTCACTTCATATATACGCTACACACATACGGTAGTCCCGTAGAACTAATTATAGAGCAGCACTTGGAAAAAGATTCATCAACTGTTGATATAAATAAAATATTTTTTATATTTTATAAATAAAATATTTGATATAAATAAATAAAATTTAAAATCGTATCTTCACGATGCAGAGAATATGAAATATATATTTATCTTTTTATTGTTTATTTTCTTTTCACTTGCGTATTAAATTTAACATTTTATATTTTACGTTCAAAAACTATTTCTATAAGCAAGCATAAAAATAATTTAATTGAGCAACGATTTCAACATGATAAATCATCGATACTCGTTGCAAAAGAAAAAAAAAGGAAATTATATCTTTACAAATGTGCTTGTGGCTTGCGTTTATATAAAAAAATTACGCTTTGGATAATTAAAGAAAAAAGCAACATAGTTAGTGGGTCTTTCAATTTTATAGATAATCATCGATAATTTTCAAAGTATAGTAAACCAAGGAAAACGAAGTGAGAGAGATGCAAGACATTTAAATCTTTCTGTCGTTCCTCCAATTTAAATCATTCTTTGTCGAGCTCCAGGTATTGGAAATGGTTATATGGCGTTGTACTCACCTGGTCGGCGATCTCCGTTAGGTCGTGCAGACTTATGTTGTAAATGGCGTTCCTGCAAAACGAAACGGGAGCGTTAAATCCTACCCATAAATCGTCCCTCTAATCTCTGCGCTTCGTGCGTCTCTCTGTCGACAACTCGGATTGAAACGCGAGTAAGCATTGGCAATTATGAGTAAAGCGAAAAAACGCGAAACATTAAAAAAATTAATTATGTACTTCTGTCAAAAACCATTTTGAATCATTTTTAAATCTTGGACAGAGTTGCATGTGCAAAAGAAGAAATAGAGATACAGGAGATAAATCAAGTGAAAAAAAAATTGCAAGGACGAAATTGAAGTTGCATAAAAATCCACGCTATATATCTCGAACGTAATTGATTTTACGACTCAGAAACGTTGCGCTGACTGTTGGCGAAGAGGACTATGGAGAAAAAATTAAATTATTTTTTGATCCATATCAAATTTCCATTAGCCAATATATTTGTATCAGATTCTGCAAAGAGGTACGGTATTGATCTCCGACCCATTGCTTTAACAACGCAACTGAAATAGGTTGATAAAATAATATTAAATAAAGTAAAGAAGCATCTTTTTTACATGTATGCACAATTCTAGAACGGCAAAAACGCCGCCGTTGCAGATATGAAATAAATTTTTTAATGTGAATTATCTTTCCCTTTGTGCTTTCTGTCGACTGAATCCCTTATGGATAATAAGATGTCTCAAACTCACTTTGCCTCCGCAAGTTCTTTGATCAATTTGGAACCAACTTTTCTTAACAAAAAAAAAGTCGAAAGACCGATAATATCAGAGTTATAAGCAATCGAAAATGAAATGTCTTTCGGAAGATTAAATGTCAAGGATTTAGATAGATGGTAAAATCATCATATTTTGCATTTAATTCTAAATAATCTCTAATGAAATTCTACTTTAAAACACTTAGTCGACAAAATGAATCGCGTTCGAAGTAAAATTGTAGTCGAGGAATTCATAGTCAAAGACCGATCTAATACTAATCTAATAGCTGCGGTATGCGGCATTCAACGTCTTTAGGCGTCGAATACAAATGAATTCGTGCGCGTTGCGCGTAAACCGCATCTCTGTTTGCTACTAATATGCGTGATGCTGCGTCACCCGCTGCTGATGCGTAATCGAATGAATGACTCGACCCGGCGGCCACTTGGGGCTCGTGGCACCAATGAACGGAGTCTAGCCGATGACTATCTCATTTATGTAAGCCCCCACGAGTAGTACGAGGGGACGACGCGACGAAGAATCGAATCACGTAACAATTACCTGGCACCAATCAGGATAGAGGTTGTCGCACGTTCTAGAAGTTTGAAGTGCTCCACGTGGCTTTCATTGCCCAGAAACCGCTGTCCAATCACCTCACCTGTAACATAAAATGACGTTTCGTTCAGCCTT